CTAACTCATGAACACAAACATATAAGTGAGAACATAGAAATGTGAACATAACATATTTGGAAGCAAACAAAGGAAGCTGTCTTTTAAAAATAGTAGTATGGGGGGAAAAAGTAATCTAAGGTTTTGCTTTGGCAGAAAGTCTTAGGAAAATACAGGTATATTTATGTATTACATTCATCATGAAAATTTATAGAGAAAGCAATGTCATCTATCAGTAATTTAATTTATTTTATTATGTCTAAGTTTTAAAAAAAGATTTTGAAATCCACTTTGAACCAGTGGACAAAGGGGAAATAAAACAGAATCAACAAGTGAAATATAGTGCCACCTAGTGGGGCATTATGTGAAGATGTTTGTGTGTATGTTATATGATATCAAGTAGATTCCAATTTATGACAAACTCTACTTGGGCTTCCAAAGTATGTGAGACGTTTAGGAAGAGGCTTTAACTAAAGATACAGTTACCTACCTGTTTGGTAGACGAATCCTTTTGATAGCATAATTACAATCATCTACTTTGTTTCTAGCTTCAAACACTACCCCAAATCCTCCACGACCGAGACACTGAATTGGCTCAAAATCTGTAAGGTATCTGCAAGAGATGGCACACACATTCAAACTTGATACTCTGTTCAAAGAAGCACTCCTTGCGCATAAGTGGTTTAACTGTGCTTGTAGTTAGCCATTCGCCTCATAACTACAGGCAAGCAAGAATTCAAACTAGACGTGAGCAGGCTGGAAGAGAAGGAATAGATCCCTTAACCCTTCTGTGCCAGTTGTAAAAGGAAGCACCCTTTTTATGGTGAGCACAACAATGCAGCAGAACTGGGAGAGATAGCATGAAATGCTATATTCCTTTTTTACGAACGCTATTTGTAGAAAGCCCTCCCCCCTTTTCTGCTAGAGAGCTAAGAGCTAATAGACTACATATTGGATGTGAAGAAGGGCCTCTCCTCTGGCCTTATAGAAATATAAACTACTAGACTCTCAGAAATATTTTTTTAGCTAAAAACCTTTTAGACTAGCTTAACACATTTAGCCCTTTTCCTGTTCAACCTTAAAAACTTAGGAAATAGCCTTCCCTTAAATCAGACCAAGGGTCTGTCTAGCCCAGTATTATCAACAGTGATTGGCCACAGCTTTGACCTGCAGTCATTTAAGGAAAAAAGTTTATCTATTCTGGTCTTTATTGCTAGGATACTCCACACATTTTGCCAAAGGCCTGATTGTTTTTACCTTGATACGTATCCAGAATTTGTAACATCAGACCAGCTGTTATCTCTAGAATGTGCAGAAGCAGATTCACATTTACTGTCTGTCTGACACTGAGTTTCAGATTCCTTCCGCTGCTGAAAGGTAAGAATACATCTTTCATAAATAAGCACAACTTTTATGAATACATGAAATATAGCAATTTCCATAAATAAAGTTATGGTTCTAAGGACTAATTGATATAAAGGAAACTCCCACATTCTTCTTATAAGCTGTATGTGAGCCCCACAAACCCTTACTTGAGAGCAAAGCACTATATCCAGGACTGCATACAGAAAAGGAGGTGTGTGCATGAGATGACTTTCAAAAATTTTTTTTTTCCATTAAAGAATAAATCTATAATATGGCAGAATATCACACAGGGGATTTTCCAATGACTTATTTTTATCTCCTCCAAGAACTAAAAGAGCAATCACTCCCTGGATTGATGCAACGTTGAGAGAAATTTGCCTTGAAACACAAAGAGTAGTGGCAGGGATGATGCCCAAATCCACATTTTGGGCAATCTTTGATGGGTCATAACCAATGTTGTCTCTGTCAATCCCGCTTGTGTGGGGGCCTTGCCAGTCCGTGTGCGGGGGCAAGGTTTCTTCCAAAACCCGGAAGGAAACAGGCATCAACCCCCGCTGCCACTGCATTGCACCAATGGAGCTCTGCACGCCCACACACACCTTAAAGGGAACGTTGGTCACAACAATGATTCCAAAAGAAATGAGTGGAATGCATCTAGAAACATATTTTCTAGGCAATAACCATTAATATTTATTTATACAGTGCTTCAAATTCCAGGTACCGTACAATCCTTTTGACTTATTTTTGCCTGCAGGTTGAACTCTTGGAGTACTAGAAAGTGTGTTACATCCAGCACTCTGTGTAAATAATGCCTCCCCTACCTACTGCCTCTGAGCTATAGTGAAAGCATCAAACAGAAGAGAACTTCTTGCCCTACATAAACTGGACTGTATACAATTGTTATAGGTGATAACCTAGCATGTCTTGAGAGGTTCTCTATGTCTTTTCTTTATTGGCCCAGTGATTGTATGAACGCAAATTTTAATTTTATTGCAACAAAATAATTATTTCTATAATACAAAAGTACAAAACACCAAAAAGAACGCATACAACTGAACTTCAAGAATCAGCTCGTTCTACTTACTCGACTGCGAGAATGAGGATGGAAAAGCCTGCGCACAATAAACGTTGTGGCCACAATGCAGAATAAGATGGTGCTAACAATTTCCTTCCACCAGTGCAGAAGCAGAACTGGATCTTTTTTACGGATATTCCGATGGTTCATGTCAGAAAACCTGACAGTGATCTGAGTGCTTCGTCTGTTTCTCTCTCGGGAGTAGTAGGGCATAAAATAGCCATTATCTATTTTAAAAAAACGTGTTAACACAAAGTTTTAAATTTACAAACTATTAAGCACTTCACATTTTTGGAACAGTAAACAAACACACACACCATAAATACATAGTGACCAAAGACTGGGATTCAGAGAATGTGTCTGGTTTTTCAGCATATACCATGAGACTGTTTATTTTTATTTCTTTTGAACAACACAATTTTGTATCATCCTAGAAATAGATTTTGGAAGCCTCCTTTATTTGTGGCATGGGGGCTGCTCTTTAACAAACTACGCAGCAAGCTTGTGTGACCCAATTTTTGTACCAGACTAGCAAACTTTTCCAAGTTTCAGAAGAAAGTCTCGCCAGAAGACAATTTAAAAATCCACAGATTGAACTGATTACATTAATCAGGTTTCCATAGATTTACATGTAGAGCAATTTTTTAAAGAAACTGATTAAGCCATGCAAAAACATATTCCATCAACAGTTAAAAACAAAAGCATAATTCACACATACCATAAGGATACTGCAGAACTGAAAGGGCACCATTACTATATTCTTCATGAGAAAATTTATCATTGCTGAGACATTTGTCAAATTCATCTGATCCCACTAGTACAGGAGTTCTAGATGGAGAGTCTAGGGGGGAAAATGTTCTGAGTTGAGAAGGTTGCATAACTTGCCCACCCACTGAATTTAAATAGGAAGATTACAAACAACTTTTACACGTATACATAAAACTTCTAGCTATAACTCCAAATATTCCTCCCTGTCTTCTAAGAACTATCAATATAATTTAGAGATTTTAAACATTCTTCTATCTCTGAAAAAGACAGCTCTTACTCACTAAATGTTAGAACAGCTGAATTAATATATTGGGAAAAGTCATCAAGCACTGATTTTTAAAATTTTATTTCACAGGGTTTTTTTAGAAATCAGTCTCTATAAGAATTAGTAATATGAAGAATTAATATAATATCCGTAAATTTTCCAAATAAATGTCTTCTTGAAAAGCTATCACTATTACTATGTAAATTAATTACTACTGGATTATAAGACCTCCTATTATATTAGCCTTGACCACAAATGACACACAAACCCTTTCTTCTTTTCCTGATAGGATTAAGACTTTCAGAAAATCTGATAAAATATCCAAACATTCAGTAATGCATACTCAGAGAAAATATAAAAATACATAGAAACACAACAATACAATTGCCCAGAAAAGTAACACATTCTCCTATCAGAAGTTATACTCTATCATTCTTGAAGAAAATAATAATTCAAGAACGGTCACTTACGAATCAAAGGTTTCCACTTGATCACTGGCAAAGGGATGACTGCATTATCATTTCTGGATTCTAAAGCCTTAGGATTGGTTGGGAACTTATCAGAAATTCGGACTGATGACTGAAGGTACAGCTGGCCTCCGTACATACCTGCATATCAAATCACAGATCATGCTTATCTTGGGATTTATTACTTCCCTTCTATATTCTTCATCACAGCAAGATATGCAAACTTTACAAGAATGCCAAAGGAATTCTGGCAAATAAATAAATATAACTGAAGCAGACATCACACCTAGGTAGACACTGGATTCTGTAGCTCCTCGTGCAGCTTCTACAAGGTCTTCATCTTCTAAAATATCATTGTTAGATGTGTAGCTTGTATCATCAAAGAGGCTGATTGGAATAACCTTACCATCTTTAACAAGCCAGGCAGAAGCAACTGGAGTGCAAAACTGTAGACAGAGCAGACAAGAGAGGTTTTTTAGTGCACAGCTTATCATTAGACTGTGAAAAGAGAAAATAATTTACAAGGAAAGATGGCAGCTTACAATGTTAAAAAAAAAACGTATTAAACACCACCAACCTCCCCAATGATCCATAATACAAAAGAGAAAGGCATTTTGGCAACGCTGTAAAGTGTGTTAATATGGTTCTATCTTCAGTACCTGATATTCCCATTCCAGATGTCCTCCCTTCTTATTAAATGCCATAACCTTCCAGTCAGCTACAGACACTTTTATCACTGTATCCTTCATTACAGCCTCCTGCTCTTCCACATCCGAAATTATTTTAGAATCATCTTTATTCAGATTTGATTTTAAATTGCTTTCAATAAATCCCACACTTGTTTCAGTGTCTGGAACATAACGCAGCTCAAAGTGACCAACACTAAAATTCCACCTTTAAAAGTTAAAACAAACAAATAGATTCAAGACTGTAATTTCAAAACAATTTTATTTTTAATATATGTAATGAAAGATGTACTGAAATTCTGAAGTAATGGAAGTCTGGACTATATTATACATAGCATAACAAAGATCTATACAAGCATTTGACTTCACACATAGCTTTTCTTAGTCTAAAACTTATGTGAATAGATAATGAAAGCAATACTACTATTTCTTAAAAAAAATGTGCATTGTTACCCTGTGACAATCTATGCAAGGAACTTCCAACTATTTCTATCTCTCGCTGTTTTAGTTTCTCTGTATCTGAAGAATCTTATGCTAGGCAAACCTTACCCTAATTACTATACCATGACAAAATCAGAAATCTTTATAGAAGTTGATAATCTGAATACAGAAGAAATACAACATTCAGAAAAAGTGAATGTGACAAAATTGCCTCTTAAATTGACAAAGAACATGGAATATTCAAAAATTATGACCAAAATCCAGTTGCTTAGCCCCAACTAGAACAGACCCACTGAATCAAAGTGGGCAAAGTGACTTTTTGATATTATCACAGTGAATTTTGTAACAATATATTTTGGCTGAATTTGGACCATTGGCTGAATTTGAAACGTAAAAGAACTGATGCTGTCGATGAGGGTACATTCTGTTCGAAACAAAATGAAGCTTTTTCCAGTCATCTTAAAAACTATTGCCATTATAGCAAGGAATATCTGTCAAGCAGACCATTCATGAGAAAGTTTAAATAAATATTTGATGGACTTTAAGGTTTTAATTTTTGAATTAAGTCTTGGTGGTCCATGGCAAAAAAAAATATTTAAAGGGGATTGTGGTAAAGAAAAGGTTAAGAACCGCTGCTCTTGTCAGAACTATCAAATGGATTCAGCCAGAAAATCTGCCTGTGTTCCTCTGGCTATTCATCTCCACTATATTGCATCTAATACATTTTTAGACATCTCTCTTTTACCAAGGGAAAGTCTGCATTTGAGTCTTGAAAACTGCTTAATGAACTATTTCAAGCAGAGGAAGACATTTCTCTTCAAGCAGACTTTCCCTTGGTCAGTGTCTAAGGAGAGAGGTTTTTTTTAAATGGATTGTAGTGCCTTTTTGTTTTCAGTGTGTTTTTAGTTGTGATTTTGTTTACCATTTTACTGTGGTAATTCTTTGATTTTTTAAAATATTTGCATACTGACTGATTTTAGCATTTAAATACTGTTTTTTTTACTGACGTAAACTACTTTGGGGCCTTTTAAAGGAAAATGCAGGATAAAGGCAGAGTGGTAGAATATACCAGATGGGCGGGATATAAATAGAATGAATGAATAAATAAATAAAATAAATAAACAAACAAACAAACAAACAAACAAACAAATAAATAAATAAATAATAAATATATAAAAACATTTAAAATAAATAAATATTTAGGTCTTCCCTGGATAAATCAAAAGTAAGTCAACCTGCGCAATTCTTTAAAAAGATAAACAATTACAGTCAGATTGTTAGATTGGGAAATGTGTTTGCTTGTGCCATTAACAGGTTTACGACTTATGGTGACCTTGTTTTCAACTGACATCCTTCAAAAGGGTTCAAAGTGGTCAAAACATTTAAAATAAATAAATATTTAGGTCTTCCCTGGATAAATCAAAAGTAAGTCAACCTGCGCAATTCTTTAAAAAGATAAACAATTACAGTCAGATTGTTAGATTGGGAAATGTGTTTGCTTGTGCCATTAACAGGTTTACGACTTATGGTGACCTTGTTTTCAACTGACATCCTTCAAAAGGGTTCAAAGTGGTCTGAAGAAGTGGATCTGTCCATGACAGTTCACATTAAAATATACCAGTTAATCTTTATGGCGCTAGGACATTTTGACTTCAAAGGGGACACTCGTTAACAACCCTGCTCAGGTTTTGTAAACTAAAGGACATGGCTTCCTTTATTGAGCCATCTCATTTTCAGTCTTCTACTTTTCCTGTTGACTTCAATTGGGAAAAGCTATACTGGAACAGATGTCTTTTTTGTGTTTTGTTTTCAGAAGTAACAGTTGCCTTTAAATCATCTTGCTATCATCATCAAAACTTTCATCATTACCTTTAAAAATACCAAATATTTTAAATTGCACACATACTTTTCATTGCCGCTGCGGGGCCCAACAGCACGAACTGTTTTCTGGGTCCTATGAAGAAGAAGAATATCTTCCTGCTCTATCTCATCATCATCCCAACGACGACAGCCCATTGCTGAACATATATACCTCACCTGCGATAAGAAAGAACCTCTTACTTCTGGGCAGCTTTTCCCTAGTTTTTGGTATATCCCTTTAATTAACAAACTACAAAGAATATCATCACAATTTTAGTTACTGCTATTATTGTTATTTCTAAAAATATAACTGGATGAAGGAAACAGGAATTGTACAAGAAAGAAAAGCAGCACATTCATACAAAACCCCACAAAACTAACACTTATAGTAGGACTCCCATATCTGCTAGGGATTGGTTCCACAGCTCCCTGTGAATATGGGGGTCCTACTATATTTTAAAATAGTCAATGTGCTTTATGCATGATATAATGTTGCTGTATTTGTATTGCAGTATGCATTTCAGAGTTGCTACTATATTTCTACTGTTATTATTGTATTTTTATTGTAACACACATTTGGGAGTTACTAAACTGAAACAGGATCCAGATGTTTAATAAAATGCAACTTAGAAAAAAAGGAGAACTTTCTAAATCAATAAATGTTGGAAAGCCTTCCAAAATCTTGCAAGCTAGGTTGGTTCTATTGTCCTGTGCATTACAGGACTTTTGAGAAAATGGAAGCCAGGAGGTAGGATTGCTTGCCTACATCTACCTACCAACTTTCTGCAATATGGGCTGGGAACTTACTGGCTCACAGCTCACTAGACTAACAGCTGAAAATCAAATAAACTATTGCTTAATTTTATGCACATGGTAACTGAAGTTCAGACAGCAAAACTATTTTCAGTCTTAGTTGTTAAGCAATCTCTGAGAACTCTCATGTAGGCAGAAATACTTTAATTTAGTTCCTAACTCCAAACTGTGCCCTCATACAAAGCTTTCCCAAGGAAAAGAAGCCAAAGACCTGTGCTAGGTTTTCTAGTGGTTTTTCCACCTGACCAACACACTGCTGGTATGCAGTCCTTAGGACATTACTTATAAAGGATGCAGTTTTGAGGTGAAAAAAGGTTTTCCATTCCTGATGTACAAAATACCAATGAAAATAACACTATTAGCAAAGTTTTTAGCTTGTGCAGCAAAACCTGTTCTTCAGAATCTATTTGATTAGACTAACTTTGATGTGTCTTTCATCAACAAGATATTTTTGAGGTGAAAAAAGGTTCTCCATTCCTGCTGTACAAAATACCAATGAAAATAACACTGTTAGCAAAGTTTTTAACTTGTGCAGCAAAACCTGTTCTTCAGAATCTATTTGATTAGACTAACTTTGATGTGTCTTTCATCAACAAGATGCAACAAAGCACATGTATTCACAAGTAATTTCACTGACCCTTGTAAATTTTACATGCTTCTTCTGGGTTGTCTGAAAATGGATAATACCCCACTGCACATTTATGCACATGCAAGAAGAACTGTTGAAGTTGCTATGTTTCATCACAGCAAACTGAGAAGATGCTGGGCAGGTACCGAGTGCATGATCAGATGCATAACCAGGATACAAATAACCACTTGTCGAACAGCTATTGCAACTTTTGCAATTCCTCTTGTGCACAAAATTTTTATCACACAGAGTCATGGTCAGTATTAACTAAATAATTGCACATTTTGATATATTTATTCACTTATGCCCCACATATACTTGGGAGGTCTAGATCGCTCACAACAAACATGTAACTCAATCTTTCTAAAATAGAGAAAAAGTAATGAAACATTTGTCTCCTACTAAATATAATGCTGAGAGTAGCATCCATTACCGTGTATTACAAAGATACAAAACAGAATGCATGTATCTTCTCTCAGCAATAAATATTCAAAAGCCAAATCTGAAATAATGTGGTTCTATCAAGTGTGAAGCAACTGGAATAATTTGATTCTGTCTCTGAAAAGCATTTCAATTTCCAGAAAAAGAATGTGTACTGCCAAATATTAACTTTTTACCTTTCCTGAATATGAGCTCAGTCCATATGTTGTCAAGGATTTTCCTCCAACAAGAACAACATCATCCCCAAATTTGTAGGATGATTCAAGAAGAGATTCAACAGTGAAAGGAACAGCTTCCATGCTCTCTCTGTCACGGTCCCACTGGAAAAGGTCTCCATCCAAGGATGGAATTATCATCTTATTCCCAAACACCTACAAAGTATTAAAACAGAAATACAGCACTATTTTGTGGAAGAGACACAATGCCAATCAAGAGCTACACAATAAATTTAACAAACAGCAATACTTTGATTTAATTTATATAATCTCTTTATACAAATTCAGCAAGTTATCATAAAAAATAAAACTACATTGTCAAGTAAGATGCAATATAAGCAGTTTTCTTTTAAAAAAATACAGATGACAGAGGAGAATAAGATTTGCGCAGTGTCATACTTGCCCAGAATGTAATTAGTTTAACTCAGTTTTTAAAAAAGAAAATTCCTAAAAACTTGGCAGGAGAAATTATAACTTCCTAAATATTATGTTACCACTTAAACAACTAAAGCAACAGGATCATAACATATTTAGAGCCTTGAATATTCCAGAAATTTTAACACTGATTATATCTATTGTGTTATCCACCTACTTTTAGTATGACAAAGATGGAAATTCCATTTAGCACCGTAGAAAGTGCAGTGGTTAAAATCCTGTTGCTCAGCACAGTAGGCTGAAACCAGAGTAGGCCCACTGAATCAATGGCTGAAATCCTGTTGCACAACTATGCTATGCACAAATGGTAATAATGTCATTACCAGGCAACATTAACATCGAGTTCATTTTATCGTATTTTTCGCTCCATAAGACGCACCTTTCCATAAGACGCACCAATTTTTTAGGAGAAGAAAACAGGAAAATATAATCTGTTTTCTTCGCTCCATAAGACGCACAGACTTTCCACCCCCCTGTTTTGTGGGGGAAGTGTCTTATGGTGCGAAAAATACGGTAATTTAAATCTTGATATCCTACCCCCTTCAGATTCTGAAGTATCCTAAGGATCCCCTTCTTCCTTGGGGAAGTCTTCGGAGGACTTGGGATGGTGGGGAGAAAGACTTTAACATCGGAAGATTGCCACCAAATCCCATCAATGAAGTAATGTTAAAAATACTTTATTTAAGAAACACTGAAGTAGGGGCAACCATAGTAGAAAAATCACATGTAAGATAACACAGTAACAGCAATAATGCTGTGCAAAGCAAGAATAATAACGATAATGCAATAAAGTACAAGACAGCAGAATAAAGGCAAAACACTGTAAATGAGATAAGGACTACAGCATTTTCTTTTCTTCCAGAAGCCCTGAGCAGAATAAAGGCAAAATAAATGAGATAAGGACTGCAGCATTTTCTTTTCTTCCAGAAGCCCTGAAAGAACTTCAATGGGTGGTTCCAAGTAAGAATGGAGCACCAACCCAGGGGTGGCCTACAAGTGAGGGTCCCTGAACAAAGACATCAAGGTCTTCATACATCTTTGGCTAATATAATGTTATTGGCACCTGCAGGTCAACTAGAAACATCCATAGCAGTTTCACTTATTTAATTTATTCTTCCCTAATTCACAGAGCAAATTAGTGACTGGGACTGTGATAAGAAAATGTCTCACTAACTGACAAAATGATAACAGTGATATCTTCAAAGCATGAGCAAAGTAGTTTTATGTGCGATTAACTGGTTTACAACTTCAGTGACCCTGTTTTTAACTGATAACCTTCAAGAGAGCAAAGTGGTTTCACCACATACCTCCAGCTTCCTATGTCTGAAATTAGATAGTCTTTATACTGGTTTTGAATTGATGCCGCTGGGATAAACACATGTCTTTTGTCAGGTGCCTTGACCTAATGTAAAGATAGTGTTTATACTGGCTTTGAATTGATGCAGCTGGGATAAACACATGTCTTTTGTCAGGTCATGCAAAGGACATGGATGAGAAGCAAAGCTATGAAACAGAACCACCTTCCAAAGGAGGCTCCAATAAAGGCCTGGGCAAAGATGGAAGGTATGGACATACCAAGCTTGGGCACAGAAGAAACAGCTGGCAAAATCCTGTTCAGGCAGGCATAACATACAGTTATATCTGCGTAAGTGTGCTGGGCATTATGCCTAGAAACAAGGAACTGCACAACTGGGCACGTCCCTGGCAGGACCAAGTGTGCTATATACCAGTGGATAGCGCTTCTGTCTCCAACACTATTGTAGCAATGGCAGGCAGAACAATGAGTTGTACCTGCATCGCTATACAACAGGATTTTACACCACTACATCTTTCTTTATCATGACAAAAATGTTCCATTTAATACTATCCTGACAATATGTCTGGATCAATCCACAGTTCTTATAGTTCACAGGTCATTTGAGTTTAGTAATGCAAATCGTTTATATGGACTTTAGATTCATCAGAAATGTTATATAAATGGTATTTTGGCACTATAATCTTTTTAGTGTTCTTTTCCAGCCTTCTTCTAATTGTTATAATCATCATCATTACCATCATCTTAAAACAATCCATGGTGAGTACCACAGTCTGCTCTCTAGATTGTTTTGGCTGAGTGAATACAGTTTTCACATCTATTACTTATTACATATTCTAGAGCATTTGCCATGGCCCTACATTTTAAACATTTTATTTCCATACACAATTGGATGAATTAATTAATGAAGACCAAAAAATTACAAAAAAATACAAAATACAGTTGATCTTTCAAAATGAGAAAACAATTGCAAGAAACAGAAACATTTAGTAGGCAAAGAAGCTGGAGACCAGTTTGGATGCAACACAATAGCCCTGTTTAGAGTTGACAAGACAGCCACAAAAATGACTTTAAATATTACAGCAGTTAAATGGGATCAAGCGTTTAAATTTTTTTAAAAAAATCATTGGGGCAATCTGATTGATCCAGGAATCCTTCAGTCTTAGAGAAAACAAATCCAAAGAACTCTGTGAACAAGAGAAGGCCATTTCTCCCACCTCAAATTCTACGGTTAATGGTATCAGGACAAGAAAAAATATATCCACAAATACTAATAGCTATCATGTGATCTGCTTCTTTTGTTATTTCAATCATACTGTGGGCCATTAACTAGCATGCAGGGCTGCAGTTGAACATTAAAAAGACAAAAATAATGACTACAGAACAACTACACAACTTTAATGCTGGCAATGAAGAGATTGAAATATTTAAGAGATTGTGTTTGCCTGGTTCAGTCATCAATCCAAATGGAGTCCGCAACCAAGAAATCAGAAGACGACTGAGACTAGGAAGGGCAGCAATGAAATAATTAGGACAAATCATCCAGTTTAAGGATGTGTCACTGGAGACGAGGACCACAATCATTCACACTATTGTATTACTGACCATTATGTATTGGTGGTGTGAAAGCTGGACACTAAAGAAGACTGATAGGAAAAAAATGTTGATTCACTTGAAACATGGTGCTGATTGAGAACTTTGCAGATATCCTGGACTTCCAGAAGGATGACCAAGTGGGTCCTAGATCAAATAAAGTGTGAACTATCTCTGGAGGAAAAAATGTTCAAACTGAGGCTGTCCTAATCTGGGCACATCATGAGAAAATGGGATTCTCTGGGAAAGATAATAATGCTGGAAAAGGTGAAAGACAGCAGAAAATGAGGAAGGCCAAATACAAGATAGACTGATTCCCTAAAGTAAGCCACAGATGTGAATTTGCAAGCACTGAACAGGGCAGCTGAGGACAGAACATTTTGGAAATAGCTCATTCACAGTGGGTCGCCTTAAGCTGGAGGCAACTTGACGGCACATAACAACAACAACTAGGATATCAGCAGCAACTACTGTACCTGCTAACAAAGCAGAATACAACTCTGGGTAGTTTGGGCGGCATATAAATTGAATGAATTGAATGAATAAACTACTACAAAAAGACCATTTCTAAAAGAAAATGCAAATTACTGAAGGAGCAGCTAAATCAACATTCTATCAGTGAAACCAACATAATAACTCTCCTGGAGAAAACCCACAATGAAACCATGTTATAAACACCAGTTAATCATTTTGCCTGTACAGGAATAAAAGCGTTTTCATGAAAAATAATTCATACTGCTTTAGGGATTGCTTTACAAAATATTATTATCATAAATAACTTAAAAAATTTATCAAGAACCTATAACTGATAATCCAGTCATAAACTGAAAGGATTACACTATTGCTTCTGGTCAGGATAAATCAATGCCTGTAGAGTCATTACAACTCCAGAAGTTAAAAACTAGACTTTTCTTGGACAATAAAGGCTAAGAGAATCCCTTTCACATGCTCCTATTTGCTTCCCCACATTACCTATGGGAGGAGAAAAGAATGCATAAATCATGTGATGAGATCACCAGAGCTTTCAGCAAGGGGGGGGTCATGAGGTCCCCTGGCATTAGGAGGAGAACCAAGCAATGTCTGTGGTGAGGAGGCAGAAAGGCATTTCACTGGAGGCAGTAAGAATCAGCAGAGGCATGCAAGTGAGATAAAGAAATGACATCACCCCTCCTTCCCCTTTCTGCTAAAGCATTACCTCACCTACTAATGTAAGAATGAGTCATCTAGGAAGTAATCTACAATTATTTTGATACATAGAATGTAGGTTACCACAAGATACTTCACCATATCTCATGAACTATCACTAAGTGATTTTTTCCCCAACTTCACTGAACAAAAAAACATTGTAATTCCTTCCAATACCAAATCCAAGCAGTCAAAAAATGTACACTTGGAAAAGAAACAATGTCCTGGCTTCAATATAAGGCCTCCCTCTGGACCCAGAAGCACACAAGTCAGAATGAAATAAATAAAAAATAATGAACGTCCTGCACTAGTTTGCAAACTTAAACAAGACATACACTGCTGTTAGCAGCCCAAGATAGACTGCAATACTCTATTGCAGAATGCCACTTGTATCAATATAAATGTTACACAGCGCACCTTTGACACAGCACAATGCTTTACAGTCTACATCCCAATCCCAAAGAAGGGCAGTGCCAAAGAATGCTCCAACTACCAAACAATTGCACTCATTTCACACGCTAGCAAGGTTATGCTCAAAATCCTACAAGGTAGGCTTCAGCAGTATGTGGACCGAGAACTCCCAGAAGTACAAGCTGAATTTCGAAGGGGAAGAGGAATTAGAGAACAAATTGCTAACATGCACTGGCTTATGGAGAAAGCCAGAGAGATCAAGAAAAACATCTACTTCTGCTTCATTGACTATGCAAAAGCCTTTGACTGTGTGGACCAGAGCAAACTATGGCAAGTTCTTAAAGAAATGGGAGTGCCTGATCACCTTATCCATCTCCTGAGAAATCTATATGTGAGACAGGAAGCAACAGTTAGAACTGGATATGGAACAACTGATCGGTTCAAAATTGGGAAAGGAGTATGACAGGGCTGTATATTGTCTCCCTGCTTATTTTATTTATATGCAGAATACATCATGCGAAGGGCAGGACTAGAGGAATCCCAAAACGGAATTAAGATTGCCAGAAGAAATATCAATAACCTCCGATATGCAGTTGATACCCCTCTGATGAAAGTAAGGAGAAATTAAAGACCCTCATAATGAGGGTGAAAGAGGAGAGCACCAAAAATGGTCTGAAGCTCAACATCAAAAAAATTAAGACTATGGCCACTGGCCCCATCACCTCCTGGCATACAGAAGGGGAAGATATGGAGTTAGTGACAGATTTTACTTTCCTGGACTCCATGATCACTGCAGATGGTGACAGCAGTCACGAAATTAAAAGACTCCTACTTCTTGGGAGGAGAGTGACGACATACCTAGACAACATCTTAAAAAGCAGAGACATCACCTTGCCGACAAAGGTCCGCATAGTCAAAGCTATGTTTTTTTCAGTAGTGATGTATGGAAGTGAGAGCTGGACTATAAAGATGGCTGACCTCTGAAGAATTGATGCTTTTGAATTGTGGTACTGGAGGAGACTCTTGAGAGTCCTCTGGACTGCAAAGAGAACAAACCTATCCATTCTGAAGGAAATCAACCCTAAGTGCTCATTGGAAGGACAGATCCTGAAGCTGAGGCTCCAATACTTTGGCCATCTCGTGAGAAGAGAAGACTCCCTGGAAAGACCCTGATGTTGGGAAAGTATGAAGGCAAGAGGAGAAGGAGAAGACAGAGGACATGTTAAGGGAGGGATGAAGGAATGACGTCATCTCAATCTTGTTCTGCACACACACATATTATGTTCAGGCCATATAAAAATTATATACCTTAACAGGACAAGAAGTCTGAACAGTGTCATTGAAGCTAGCAACATGAATTTGACCAAACTCCGGGAGGCAGTGGAAGACAGGAGGGCCTGGCGTGCTCTGGTCATGGGGTCACAAAGAGTCGGACACAACAACAACAATGCTTTACAACATTAATCAAAAATTCTACAGGCATAGATGTTTACATTGAAGTTAATGCCTATGCACACAAATTCAGAATTATGTATTCTTCATTAAGGACAATGCTTTAATAATGTGTAAAGGAGGCATAACAATTAGAAGTTGTACACAGATCAAGCAGTCCATGATTTCTAAAGTTTTTGGCTGAAAGGATCTTAGAACCTGGATTCCAGTAAATCACTTTTCAGGATCATAATTAAGTAAATGAGGCATGAAGCAAAAGCTTGGGCATAGGAAAGCATATTTCTATTGTACACATCTGATGAACTCAGCTGCTATATACTATAAGCTTTGTGTCAAATAAAATGTCTTATATATTTCAAATGTAATTAGACTGCATTGTATTTTTTTCCTTTTGGATGACACTGTTTAATGAGACTAGGTATCACTCTGCTAACATGATTTCTTTTGTCAGTTAAGACTTTGCCTATTGTGTTAACAAAGAGTTAGAGGACCAAACTGTCATTTTGTAATTTAATGTAATTATCATTTGTTAAATCCACTGGCTAATTAAATGGAACAAAACTCCACAATAACTCATGCAACACTACTTTATCACCAAAACTAAAAGAGGCGTCTTACTCATCAAAATCCATATTTTTACCACATTTTGAGTTTTTTACTACAACATACTACACATGATTTATAAATATATCTGTGTGGAGTAATGAATATTTTTAGAAGTTAGAAAACATTGGCCAAAATTTGGTTGCCCAACTAGTCACACACAACTCAAGTTTGTGCCTGCACAAGTTGCACTAATGCTGACGTGGAAATGCTATCCATAAAGCACTTCTGCACACACACTGCATAGTCCAGCCAGGGACATGTGACCAAATGCACACGTTAATAGATCAACTCCTTGTTGCCAGCATAAATGTCTGGTATATTTTTGCCAATGTAACTTTGTGAACAGGATTTTGCCCAATTTTTGGCTACCAAGACCAGACATAATTAGTGAAACTCTCCTTAAAATGCTAACTTCTAAGAAATTCTTTAAAATGCAATGAGTTAAAAAGGCAGGTAATAAATAAATAAATAAATAAATAAATAAATACATGTAGTGTAATATTTTCAAGATGGACTCCAAATGATGTTTAATCCTTTTTGGAAGCCTCTTCTGTTCTTAGTACTGTTACAAATAAAGCAACCAAAACTACAAAGTCAGGCAGAGCCAAGGTAGCTAAGAATGATTTTTTTTAAAAAAGATTTAAATCATGATTTAAATTTTAAAAATGACTTCTTAATTTAAATCATTTAAAAAAATCCAGTTTTTTATATTTAAATCATGACTGAAATCAAATCCATCCTGGACAGAGATAGAGAATAGTTACTTTAGGCAAACCATCCCATCCCACCGAAGGTGTGGCCAAAGAGGAAATCAAGTCTCAGACATTTAAAATGTGTCTTTTGAAAACTTAAGTCAGAAAATTTGGGGGTCGGACCCATGGACTATATGGGATCGAATATTGAATAAATGTAAGCTAAACTTCTATAAATTTGTATTTTTTTTTATTTGCACATTTTGATATCCAAAATTTGTTAGTTCGTCTGTAAGGCATAATTTCCAGATTCTTTTAAGCCAAGAGGTGAAATCAAGACAATCCTTATTTAGTAGTTCTTTCTTTTAACCAGTGCTCTTCACACTATTTATATGTACACAAAACAGGCGTTATGATAACAGAAAAGAGGGTTATGTCTTCCAAAACTCAATGACTCAACACAACAGACTTACCTCTGGTTTACTAAGGCTAGATGAGACAAGAGAACCTGATCCAACATCCAGGTCCCACTGTTTTCTACCATTGTTTTCTGGGTCTAAAGCGGCAATCCGTCCATCCAAAGTACTTATAATTACTAATGATCTGTAAATAAAAGAGATGCCCGGAGGCAAGATCTTTTATACCAAACACTGAACCTTTTCCATGTGAGACATAAAACCTTAAAGATAACAAAGAACACACTTTCAAATTATTATTCTGTACAGTCACATTTTTCTAGCTCACTTCCTATCTTCTTCCTTGTCATGTTTCAGCTTCTCAAAACAAGCAAGTAAACAACAAGACAAGTAGTAGTACTGGCAACCAACTTAATCTGGAAGCAGAAAAACTTTTCAATCTCAACCTGCAAGTTGAAGATCAATTATCTACAATAAACCATAACAATTTTGCAACAAGGCAGTTACATAAAATCTAATATATAGTTATAAATGTTTCAAGTTTCTATTTTGATGATGAACATTTTATTTTCTTGTCAATTTCTCATGCTTTGTATTTGACAATGGACTTGGAATAATTGCTGGCCTGCACAATACTCTATGGGAGGGGAGAGGCAGAGTAAGAAGCGTTAGTATGGCTGCAATGACAACATGATACACTTTTGCAGTACAAGAGTTGGATTATCCTGCTACAATGGCTAGATGCAGAATCATTTATTGTATTTTTAATTAGCTAGTTCTGTTGTGCTCTCGTACAGACCAAACTCCAAGACAATGCCTTCTGATGGTGTTTTTGCTGGACCAAGTTTCTCCAGCAAGTAGACTAAACTCATGCTCTTCTCTAAGAAGTGCTTAATTTGCCCTCATTAAATCATAGTGTTATAGACCAAGTTTTTATTTTTAATGATTACTCAGGATTCTGTCTCTTCATTATAACATACAATATCTGCAATCCTATTGAGGTGCTTAAAATTCATTCCTTGAAAGACAACTCCCATGAACGATCTACCATTATTTATTTCAGAAGACAAACTATACAGTGGGGTCTTGACTTAAGAACGGCTCGAGTTAAGAACATTTTGACTTAAGAACCACTCTCATAGGATAATATTGACTTGACTTAAGTACTTAGATTTGAGTTAAGAACTGAAAAAACCACGTGGGAGGCCGGGAAAGTGCAAAATATGAACTTTCAGTTAACTGTTGGCCAGTGAAAAGGGTGCCTGTCTGCTTCCTCACTCCTCCCAGCGTTTAGAGAGTGGATTGGGAGACAGTCTTCGGACTGCCTGGACTGTATTTTCCCTGCCTTCCCTGAACCTTTCCTGACCTAAGAAAAAAAGAAACAAAATATCCCCCTCTAGTGGTCAAAGGCAGAATAGCAGCTTCCCATTAGTTTCTATGGATGGAAAAGAGCAGATACGGATCAAATGGATTTCAATGCATTCCTATGGGAAATGCAGATTTGACCTGAGAACTTTTTGACGTGAGAACCGCCTTCCAATACGGATTAAGTTCTCAAGTCAAGACCCCACTGTACTCTGATACAATAATATCCAATAAAATAACTTCTATCATACAGTACAGCCATTCTCCATTTTTTTTATTTTTCTCTGCTTTTAATTGTATTTACTGTATTATCATTCTATCTTCACTGCACTTTATGATTTTGGATTTTCACCCCTATGTATTAATGTTGCTATTTCGTTATTTTTTGTTATAAACCATCCAGAATGGCCTTGGCTGCCAGATGGGTGGGCGGGATATATATCAAATTAAATAAATAAATAAATAAATATAGCTGTGAGCAAACAATTCCATGGTCAAAATGTACTGGTTTGTTTAAACAGTTACAGTCACAAGACTACTCCAGCTATCTTATGCCCAATAATGAAGCCACATGATTTTGAAACAGGAACAAAATACTTATCTTGAGCCACAGTTAAATATTAAACATATTTTCAGTTCTGTGGATAATTTCACACATACAGTTGATGCCCCAGCATGTTAACAGATCTATCATCACTACTTTCTCAGAATGGTAAGCTGTTAAATAAAGCATCATGCACGCAGGTCATATATGTGAAGCCTCACTCAAACAAAGCAGCAAACCACAGCTGGGCTTCACTCTGGAATATGTAGACCATGGGCAAGACAAATAAATGTGGTCTGAGTCAATGGACACTTCCCATATCAGGCCAACAATGCCACATGTCAGGTTAACATTCTATTCAGAAGCTCCTCCAACAGAATAACTGTTTTATATGCAAGCATAAAAGGAGGGAATGTTTGTCCTGTTTTTTTAAAGGAAAAAGACCACATACGTACTTATCACACTAATATGGAGGCTGGAAAATAGCTAAGGCAGCAAGAAAAGAGGAAGAGCAAATATGAGGTAGATTGGTTCCATAAATAAAGCCTCAGGCTTGAATTTATAAGAGCTGAGCAGGGTTGTTGAAGGCATGACATTTCGGAGGTCATATGGCCAACCACAAGTTGTAGATTACTTGATGTAACAAGAACAACAGATTTCATCCTCTTCCAAATTTTGAAATGTTAGCCTTTACCCAAACTGTTCATATTAGAGAAAGATACACATGAAAATAAATGAACTGTATGTGTTTTTAAAATATATGCTTTTTGTATTGTTTTTATATAGCAGAATGCTACAGATACTGGTTAGAGTTTTCTACTGGGGTAGCATAAGGTTGGCACAGGGACATGGTGACACTGCTGGTTAAACTGCAGAAGCCTCTGTGCTGCAAGGTCAGAAGACCAGCCATCGTAAAATCAAATCCATGCGACGGAGTGAGCTCCCGTCGCTTGTCCTAGCTCCTGCCAACCTAGCAGTTCAAAAGTATGTAAAAATGCAAGTAGATAAATAGATACCTCGGTGGGAAGGCAACAGCGTTCTCTGTCTAGTCGCGCTGGCCATGTGACCGCGGAAGATTGTCTTCTGACAAACACTGGCTCTACAGCTTGGAAACGGGGATGAGCACCGCCCCCTAGAGTTGGACATGACTGGACTAAATGTAAAGGGGAACCTTTACCTGATAAGGTCAGCACGACTTATGCAGCAAATTGTCGCTAACTGATGAGGATCTAGAAAGCTTCTTGGTTATGCAATTAGCCACATGGCTAGATACAAACCCAAACACCTTGTCAATTAGCTATATCAAATTATGCAAATAATATGCAAACATCAGCAAGATTCTTGCCATCAGACAAAACAAACCAGAGGCTGAATAAACGTGGAAATGACATGGTCATAATATTAGAGTATAGGCCAGAGAAGCTGGCTGGACAGCTCCATGAGGACTTGGCTGTGGAGCCAGGGTCACCAGTTCAATTTCCCATTGTGTTTCCCAACAGAAGAACTGGCTTGCTCAGCAGTTCATAGTCCCCAAGTGTCATGAGAATGAAGGACTGGTAAACCATTTGTGAGTGCTTTATACCTAGAAAACTTTGGGATGGGTTGCCATAAGTCACAATTGACTTGACAGCCCATAATTATAACAAGTGAGTGCAATCAGATCAATTCTGACTTATGGTGACCATTTTTCCAGGGTTTTCTGGGCAGAGAATACGCAGACGTGGTTTACCATTTTCTTCTTCTGGGGGCATCCTGGGACTGTGCAGCTTGCCCCAAGACCACACAGGCTGGCTCTTCTGGGAGGCACAGGCTACGCTGCAGTAGCATCTGAATTCATTAAGCCAAGGTGACAAGCTCATTTGTGTAATGTACTATTGCAGTACATCTAGTTTTCAGCAAAAACTCAAAAAATAAAAACCACACTTTAAATGACTAATTACCAAAAGCAGTCTGACAATACTAATTTATTTTATATCAACTGGACTGAGCAATGAGTTGCTTTACTAGGAAGATCAGGCTGTGTTCTTGGAAATATGTTCCACTGAACCCCAGGTGGGATTTGGTGATAAAATTGTACCATTAGCAATGATAAAAGATAGTTCCTTCTAATTTTCAAACTTAATAAAATGAACTGGAAGAAGGTTGGTTTTTTATCCAGTATTGGCATTATCAAAACACTCCACAGGAACAGGGAAAAAAACACTTTACTTCATCTACTTAATATCTATTTGTTTAAGAAATGCTTTTTAAAAAATTAAATCCCAAAACAGGGTTTATAAACTCAATATACTGCTAAAAATAATAAAGATATCAATAAAAGAGAAACAAGATAATTATTTAAAAAATAACACATTAAAAATGATAAGTAACCAACAATAGTAACAATCCAAATAATAATTATGGCAAAAGAAGTATTTGACTAATTGTTGAACACACTATCTGCCTGCATAATGCGAGCTGGGAAATCACTCATGGTTGATCTGATAACAGTGAAGCCCTTCTTCAGTACTAACCACAAATGAACCTCATTGCAATCAGTACAGAGGGATTCCCTCTCAGGGTAGCATGACAGGGATAATTTATACATAACAAAATGATATCAAAGGAAAACTGGCCACAAGCTCTTTAGGACTTTAGAAATCAAAGCTAACAACTTGCACACAGCTCAGTAGCTCATTGGCAGCCAGTACCGGTCTTTCAGCACAAGGATTCCGTATAGGAGCTCCATACAAACTGCATTACTTTAGACTCAGGTTACACACCTGTCACTGCATAAGGAACACCACTCTATTCAGGGTAGGCAGATAACCAAACTCCTAGATCAGGGAACCACTGAACTTGAGGGCCTCCATCTTTCACAGTCACTAAACCCAGCTCACCACTATATTCAGTTACATTCTCTGTATTTTACAGGAAATAGTTACTTAAAATGGCAGCAAATAAAGATACAGACCACAAAATTCTTTGTTTGCACAGTGCCTTACATATGCCATATCAGCACGTAACTATCACTGTTACAGGAGGCACACAAAATATATACTCATTAAGGATTGTAATCATTGTTTTTTAAACATTACATTCCTTCTTGAAGTTTCAGCATATGCTTTCCAGTCTGTATGTGGACCAATTAATGTCAAACATTCAAAGTTTCTCTCCAATTCTTCTGCATACAACACAGACATTTGCTGTCATCACTGCCCCCAAGAAATCCACTGCCAAATTATTATCTAAATTAATCATTCTATACTGGTGAAATTAACCAAATAAAGACATTCACTGAAAGCCTAAGAACAGATCTATTCAGAACCTTCTAGCAGGCAAGCGCAATCCTACTACAATATACAGTAGAAGCATTTGAAAACAGGAAACCAGTGTTTCTTGCTGGATTCTTACAAAGTAGCAAGATAGTAGGCATTATTAGCTGCGTAGGAAGGATGTGGTAAGAACCCAAACAACTTGTCCCTTAACTGCCTTGTCTGCCAAGCTACATATTTCTGGTACCCTGATAACCTGTAAAAAGAAAATTAGCACCTTACCATATTACAGTACTTAAAGGAAGCATTTTAATGACCATAAGTGAGCAAAAGAAGACTCAGAAAACATCTAACCTGTGGGACTTAAGTCCCACTGATTTTAACATCTGTTCTAGGCATACAATTTCACCTAAATCCAACTTTACATTAAGAACCCAAGACTCACCTTGCACATGAACAGCTACAGACACTGAGAAAGTTAAGTGAAAACCTAGCAGCTATGGTTAGAGTATTGGCATTTGACCAGATTCATACTGCGGTAAGCAAGGCGCTCATTGGCCAACGTTGGACCAACTCCTTTTCTTAATCACACAAAAACAAGAAATAAAGAAGACAACCTATTATATCCCACACCAGGCTTTTGGGCGAAAGGGGTCAACAAAAGCGATAGCGGAACTAACCCCTGCCCGACACTGCTAGGTTTTCTATATGATGCACAGCATTGTTGCCACCAGAAAAACGCTACGATTGTTCGGAAAACGCCCCTTAGTCCGCTACTCAAGGGGAAAGGAATTGAGCATAATTGCAATAGGCTTGGGCAAAGCGAGACTTCCGATGATGCTGCAACTTCCATCATCCGTCACCAAAGGCTACCCGAACAAAGGGTGATGGGAACCTTGGTAGTCCNNGGGGGGAGGGTGGCTGTAGTAAACCACCCCCCCGGGGGGGGGGGGGGGGAGACACACATTCCCCGTCCTTGTTAAAGGAGAATTGGCTGAGGCAGCAACAGCATCTTTTTATAGCGATCATCATCCTTCCCGCCTCACCTGCGGCCGTGGCTCCGGGGTTGCGCCTCCACCGCTTCCTCCTCCTGCTGCTGCTCCCCGGAGGAGGACGTCGCCTGGGCCACTCCGCTCGCCTCATCGTCCTCGACGGTCACGTCGGCTACCGCCGGGAGGGCGGCCGCTGCAGCGCCCCCGAATCCTAGTCCGTCTTTTTATAGCGATCATCATCCTTCCCGCCTCACCTGCGGCCGTGGCTCCGGGGTTGCGCCTCCACCGCTTCCTCCTCCTGCTGCTGCTCCCCGGAGGAGGACGTCGCCTGGGCCACTCCGCTCGCCTCATCGTCCTCGACGGTCACGTCGGCTACCGCCGGGAGGGCGGCCGCTGCAGCGCCCCCGAATCCTAGTCCGGGCTGGCGGGCCCCCTCCGAAGTTGCCGCCGCCGCCTCCCTCAGGGGGACGCAGAGCGGCAGAAGGAGCCACAGCAGCACCAGGGCGGCGGAAGGACCGGGCCGGACGCTCGGGCCTCGCGGCCCTGGCATGAAGCGGCCCTCCCTCCACTCGCCTCAACCACGTCGTTAGAGCATACGAACTCCCCCGTAGAGTCCCGGCACCACACCTGCCCAACGGGACTGCAAACTGGGCTCGGTCCGTTTCCCTCCTCGCTCTGAACTCTCTCCACTGCGCAGTCGCACTCCCGTACGACAACCAAACTGCTTACGCTTTCCTTGTACCACCCCATTTTGGCCACGTACCGGCGCCCTTCTTCACAACCTACCCCACTTCCTTTTACAGGGACCTGCCGTCATGTCATGCGTCTACCCAATCGCCGAACCCTAATGTGGAAGGCGTATCGGTGACACCGCCCCTTCAAGAAAGGCGGGCAGCGCGTGATGTTTGTCAACAGAGAGACTGAACCAATGACAAAGAAGTTTCTAACTTTCGCTCACCAATAAGAAGCCTCATCCAGTGTTTGGTTTCCGTTCTTTGATTGGAGAGGCTAGACGGGGTTGGTGGATTAGAGCGATTGGCTACTGTGCTTTCCCGCCCCTTCTTGATTGGGCAGCGCCGAGGTTTCCTACGTGGCCGATTCTGAGTGTCGACATCATTCCCCAGGGTAGAAAGCGTGAGGGAGGAGGGCGTCTTAAAGGGACCGCAGCGGAGGAGCTTTCCAGGTTGCAAAAGATTCAGATACCTGTACCACTAATGGCCATTGCAAAGTCTGATGTCTCTTTCACACATAACTGAGAAGCAACGGAAAATCGCTTACATTTCAGTGTATATTAATTCTTATTGCTAAGTGCTGTTAAGTCTCCCCTGACTTATGGCGACCCTATGAAGGAGGCAAGGAGCGATCCCCAAAAGATCCTGTCCTCAACAGCCCTGCTCAGCTCTTGCAAACTCAAAATCTGTGGATTCCTTTAGGGAGTCAGTCCATCTGGTACTTGGTCTTACTCTTTTCTTGCTACCTTGCTCTAATGGCTCTAAAAAGAGCTGTGCTGGAATAAATGCGGTCCAAACCTATATAAGAACAAAGCAGGAAAGAATTTAAGCCGCAATGCAGGTTGGCAGTAAAGTTTGCTAAATGGGTGCAGGTTGGACCATCACATATTTAATTCTATAGGCAACAAGGGCTAGGATTTACATAATAGCTGATACAACAAGTCCCATTTATTCACTCCAAAGTAGAGAAGGCTAGATGGTCTGATGCAAGTAAAAGGCAAGTGAACAAACACCAATTCAAGTTTTCGGGTAAGGACTCAGACTTCATACATATTCACAATAATTGGGGAAAATATATTCACTGTGGGTTGCAAATGGGTGCAAGACTGCTTGTAACTCAAATGTTAGTGCTTTTTTTCTCCCTTTGTTTTTATCCGGTGTGGGTTGGAGTGTAAACTGTGGGCAAGTTTATTGTTATGTGCCATTAGGTCACTTCTGAGTTATGGTGACTCTAGGAATAAGACATCTCCAAAAATGTTGTGTCCTCAACAGCCCTGCTCAGCTCTTGCAAACTCAAATCTGTGGATTCCATTAGAAAGTCAATCCATTTTGCATTTGGTTTTCCTCTTTTCCTGCTGCTTTCAACATTTTCCAACATTACTGGCTTTTCTAGAGAATCTTAGCTTCATATTATGTGCCCAAAGCAGAACAAACTCAATCTGATTATTTTTGCATTCAGAGATTCAGTAGTTCAGGTTTCATTTGATCTAAGACCCACTTGTTCATCTTTCTGCCAGTCCAGGTCATCTGCAAAGCTCTCTAGCACTCTATTTCAAACAAATCAGTTTTTTTCCTCTCAGTGTCTTTAATGTCCGGTTTTCACACAAAAGTGCGGGTGATCTTGGTCTTCGTCTCCAGTGACACATCCTTACACTTGTTTATCTTTTCTAACAGCTGCTTTTCCTAGTCTTAGTTGCCTTCTGATTTCTTGGCTCCAGTCTCCATTTAGATTGATGATTGAGCCAAGGTATACATTTTTTTCACTATTTCAATTTATTTGTTGTCATCATTAATGTTGTGTCTCCCCCCCTCACCTTTTTTTGTGTCTTTTAATCTTCAACAGCCGACCTACTTTGGCACTTTCTTCATTCATTTTTTTCACTATTTCAGTTTATTTGTTGTCATCATTAAAGTTGTGTCTTCCCCCGCCCCTTTTGTGTGTGTGTGTTTTAATCTTCAACTGCCGACCTACTTTGGCACTTTCTTCATTCACTTTCACCAAAAGTCATTTCTAGTCATTGCTGCTTTCTGCTGGTAAGATAGTGCCATCTCCATATCAGCTGATGTTTCTTCCACTAATTTTTACTCCTTCATCAGAATCTAGAATGGCTGTGCATATATGTTCTGCATAGAGATTGAACGGATAAGGAGATAAAATACACCCTTGTTTGACACCTTTGCCTATAGAAAGCCGTTCTGTCTCTCCATGCTCTGTCCTAACAGTAGCTTTTTGTCCACAGTACAAGTTACATATCAGGACAAGCAAGTGCTGATTGGGACTGCATTCCCTATTGAAGCATCTCTCCCCAACGTAATCTACCTGATCCACCAGATCCTCCCAGGCCATGCTCCTCCAGGTAGCCACTACAAGGGAAACCCGTAAGTCATCCACCAGGGATCAGGCCTTCTTTGCAATAACACCAACTTTACAGAACCAGCTCCTAGTGGAGCTATGCCTGGCCCCCTCCCTGTTAACTTTTAGAAGGCAACTTAAAATACAGCTTTTCAGGGAGGTCTTCTACACTGATCTACCTGACTTTACGCTTCCTGTCCTGCTATTTCATTGTGAACTTACCACTGGCAGCAGGGTGGTCTTCCACACTGATCTACCTGACTTTACACTTCCTGTCCTATTTCATTGTGAACTTACCACTGGCAGCCATGTGTTTTATGTGCTCAATGTTTTTAACTTCCCAGTTGTGTACAGTACTTGATTTATTCACTGTAAACTGCCCAGAATAGTACATTGCACTAATGGAGCAGGATATATATTTAAGAAATAAAATGGGTGGTCTTCCACACTGATCTACCTGACTTTACACTTCCTGTCCTATTTCATTGTGAACTTACCACTGGCAGCCATGTGTTTTATGTGCTCAATGTTTTTAACTTCCCAGTTGTGTACAGTACTTGATTTATTCACTGTAAACTGCCCAGAATAGTACATTGCACTAATGGAGCAGGATATAAATTTAAGAAATAAAATAAAATGCTGAGATACACTCACTTATTTCAGAACAACCCATAGTTTCTCATGATCTACAGACTCAAAGCCTTTTGTTGTAGTCTATAAAACTACTTCTGAAATTCTTTGGTGGTCTCCTCAAAATATTGTTTTGCTACTCTCTAGCAACCCAAATAAATATATATCACACTTGTGTTGCAAATAGGATTTAATAATTTTGTTAGAATATGGTAGAAAATACTGAACTAAAGTCCTAATTATAAGCATTCAGAAGATAATTTGCTTCAGATATGATGCTTCATTATCATGCTCTAGACTGGGGTCTCCAAAGTACGGCCCATCAGCCACATCCGACCTTTTTATCCAGCCCAACTGTGCGTGCACACGGGTGGGCAGGTGGGAGTGTGTGCATGGGTGCGGGTGGACGAGTGGGAGCGCACATGAGTGGTGGCCCGTTCCTCCGGCCCTCGAAAATATCACAAATATACTATGTGGCCCTCCATGTGAAAAGTATAGAGACCCCTGCTCTAGACACAGGTCCTTGCATCATCACATTCAGAACAAAAATTAATTTTATCTAACTAAATTATAGAGTGAAAACCAGAGAGAGAAAACAGTTTTTTGTTGAAGCTTGAACCCTTAGAATTTTAGTTCAGTGGTTCCCAGAAGCCTTTGCCATCAGCTGTGCTGGCTGGTGCTTCTGGGAGTTGCAGTTCCAGAATACCTGGGTTACCCAAGGTTGAGAACCACTCCCTTAGATATGGTACTGCCACCCCTGCTTCTTTTTTTTTAACTTTTAAAAATTTTAATGAATCACCCTTGTTTCTTAAACCAGAAACCTTTTAACAGATGTATTTTTCTTCCCACTTGAGCTGAGGCTGAGCAGCCAATATAGGTGTTTTTGAGGTAAAAAAGGTAAAGGTTCCCCTTGACAATTTTTGTCCAGTTGTGTTCGACTCTAGGGGCCGGTGCTCATCCCCGTTTCCAAGCCATAGAGCCAGCGTTTTGTCCGAAGACAATCTTCCATGGTCACATGGCCAGTGCGACTTAGACACTGAACGCTGTTACCTTCCCACCGAAGTGGTCCCTATTTATCTACTTGCATTTGCATGCTTTCGAACTGCTAGGTTGGCAGGAGCTGGGACAAGCGACGGGAGCTCACTCTGTCGCGTGGATTCGATCTTACAACTGCTTGGTCTTCTGACCATGCAGCACAGGCTTCTGCGGTTTAGCCTGCAGCAATACCACGTCCCTTGTTTTGTTTTTTTGTTTTTTGTCCACAGTACAAGTTACACATCAGGACACTGAGGTACCTGATGTCAAAGAGATGTTTAATGCACAAAAAGTATTTTATTGTACTTTCATGAAAGGTTAAATTGGAAAGGGTTGGAAAGATAATTTTAAAAAAGGACAAAAAGGAATAAAACGGTGAGAGGGAAGAAAGTAAGAGGTCTGAGATAAAGAAAATGACATCCCACTAACTCATCTACTCTCTATGTTATGTATATCAGGCAAAATCCAAAGAAACAAAATCCTATCATTCCAGCAAGCAAAGAGCCAGCTTACCTACCTATATATAATTTAAATCAACAATAGACAGGTGGAGGCTGAAATGATTACATGCATTAACTTTTATTCTGCACATCATCTGTCTCTTTTCTGTACGAGTATCAAGAATTTATTCCCAGTTTCTCATTCAATTACCACTATAACAATTACTTAGATAGCATCAATGTAATAAGAACGAATTTTGCCATGGGATCAATGTTTTGTAGGTAAGTACATAATAACCATATGACCTAATAATATAATGTGATGCACCCTTCAATTTTTCACTGCATCCTTTGTCTTGGGAGGAATTCTGAGATCTACTTACTGTCTTTTCTACTGGGGGTTATGAGATGTTTTAGACTTTGTTAATAGATTTGGGAGATATTGAAACAAATCCTTGTTTTCATTTAGATCAAGTTTGTGCTGATCTCAATTTGTATAAAGTTTGTTGACCTACAACTATCTCATGATTGCAGTCTTCTGTCTGTAAGAATCTGCTCATCCCTGAGACAAAGAACTGTAAGATTTACCAAATACGGTATCAATAAAATTCCTAGGAATGGTATGATATAATATATCAAAAGAAAAACAGCCAATCTCTTGAACTTGGGTTGTACTCCTCTTTTTAAAACTGTGCAAGACTGTACCATAAATCAATATTGTACAAATGAAGGCAAGCTTGAATAGCTTGGAATATGAATTCCTCCCGGGACAAAAGATGCAGTGAAAGATATAATGAACCATTGTTTGCAATCTGGCTCTGACAACTGAGCTGTGAAAAATTAAATTATTTCTAGCTGTTCTGAATGACGGTAACATTGATGGAGTATTTTGCCTCTCTTCATTCAAGCATGTTAATTAACTCAATAAAGTCTCAGTTAAAAGCAACAGATTTTTATGTGGAACTACAAACATCATTCTCTCCTCACTTAAAGGCTAAATTCCAACTACTTTTAATTTGCAGGAATTGTACATAGTTCCATTACTTTTGAGAGAGGCCTTTCACGTTGACCCAGGTTGAATGTCTTGCCTCCAAAAATTGGTTGCATTATTATTTAAGTTTTTAGACTATGATTTAGACTATATATTTTGCTATTTAGAAATATGTATTTAAAATATTTTAAAATACAAATATAGACACCCACTCAAAAAAAGAGAGGAAGAAATGAGACAAGGAAATTGCTACATGACCCTTGTTTACAGCTTATTAGGTAGATCTCTTGTCACTGTGCCCCCTGCAAGCCTACAAGATAGCCATGTTAACAAACTACAAACAAGTCTGTCAGTCAATTTCTTCTCTCCCTGTATAGCAGGCTAATGCAAACAGACCCAGGGAAACCCAAATTCTCAGGTGCAACTTTGCAGTGAGTGAATTTGCATTTCCCTTGCTGTAAAGTTGCACCCCATGATGGCTGAGGGCCGGCTTTGCTGAATCCAAACTGTTCCTAGCACAGGAATATAAGACATTATATACGACTAGATCTGATATAACACCATTCCTCCCCTTATTCTACTGGCTCTCTTACTCAGCAGATCCAGTTGTGCCAGTAGATCTGAGATCAAGCAGTACAATGTGACTGTGCAGTCCAAGCACAGTGATACCAACACAAGAGGCTTCTGTTCATTCCAAATCCTTAGCCAAAATTCTGTTGCTTAGTGCAGTAAATTACACTAGAGTAGGTCTACTGAATCAGTGAGGGTTTAGTGAATAAATTTCACTATAGGTTTCACTGATTCAAATGAGCCTATTGTAATTGCAACTTAGTATGCTTAAGTAAATCAGTTAGCGTAGGCCCTTTTGGATCAGTGGAACTTATGGAAGAGTCAACAATTATTAAAAACTGTGTGAGGAGAAACCACCTGTTCCCCATCTTACCTCATCACACTTTCCCTTACAGCCCAGCTTACACAGACCTCAGTTGCATGACACAGGAATTCAAGTTCTCCAGGGAATCCTACCTGAACTGTGTATCAGCAGTAAAGTGCCACACGGTGCTTGAGTGCGCATGAAAGGTGTACCAGCACCTTACTAAAAATACCATGCAAGAAATATGGCACCAAATAAAGGCCGCTTGTACCAAATGCAGGAGCAATCAAAACAGCACATCTTGTCAATGGTGAGCTAGAGTGGATCCCTAGTTGATCATGTCATGTGACTACAACCACTAAGTGAATTGCTAGAGAAGAGGAAGTGATCAGCTCCCTTCACTTCTATTGAACCAAATTGGCTATCTAAATTAGTATTGCCATCATCTCCCAGATTTCAGAGGGCTTCTTTCCTAGCTCTACCTGGAAATCCCTTGTACAGTATGTTGTTATAGTCTCCCATCCAGGTGCTACCCAGGCCCAATCTTGCTTAGATTCCAAAACCAGACAAACCATGGGTGTACACAGGATGGCATACCAGTAACACAAATTTTGTTTGGAAAATATTACGTGTGATTGGTACAGACCAACGATTAAGGAAAACATGGTGTTCTAGGACATCTGAGTTTGAATTGTAAGACAAATCACTTGTTCTTCCAGTTTCAGTCCACCATATACCATCCTACTGTAATGATTACTCAAAATTAAAGCATTACATAAAATCAAATTTAATACAGTATTGTTTACTTTCTTCTACACCAATGTATTGTAGACTATTAAACCAAACATTTAACAAAGCACTTCTGTTCTAGAAAGTAGTAAACTCTTTCATTCAGTTGTTTCTGTCTGAAGCACAAGGAGCACCTGAATGCATCCATAAAAATTTTTGTCCGCGTGATGCAGAGCAACTTGAGAGCCTGCTCTGATTGTCTACAGCTTCACGTGACAACCAATTCACACGGTCTTTTGATCACTGGTCTCTTGAAATAAGAACGGATTCCACTGAAAGAAGTCGCCTCTTTGCGGGGATAATGAGTCCTACGAGTGGTGAGCTCTGAAGCGCAGACAGACAGAGCGCACCACTTTATAGCGAAGCCACCGCGCGATCCAACTAGCCAGCCTCAGGCGTCGGTAACACAAGCGCGAACTCCTGGGAGCAGAGCCTTTCGGGTCTCACAGTTACCGCCGCTTCAAGCGTGGCTGTATTGGCAAGAGTGCGACACAGTCCCCTCGTCCTATTCAGCCGAGGCGCCGAAGTGCATTGTGGACGTTGTAGTTCCCCGGTGGGCAGCCGCGAGTGTATTGCGGCGCGCGGCGCTCGCGGAGGAGACTACAAATCCCTACGGGCCGGGGAGGACGACCGCGTCCCGCTTGTGGCGCGACAGGCTCCCTCATTAGCTGGTTTCCTAACCGGTTCCTTGAGCTTTCTTTTTTTAAAACCCGCAAGAGTCAACGCGGAGGCCAACAGGGGGGGCCGGGGGAGCTGGCGTTTGCGAAAGGCAGGCGGAGGCCAAAGGGGGCAGGCGGAGAGGTGGGCGGGGACGTCGGCATGCGGCACCGGCGGGAGCCTGTCGCCCTTTTCTGCAGGACGCTGATCGGGGAAGGCAGCGGCCGGGCGGGGGTCCGCCACAGGTCGCACGTGCAGAAGGAGAGGCCCCCCAGCAGCCGCCAGGCCCCTGCGGTGATGGCCGAGGAGGCGAAGAAACTGGCCGCGTGGACTGCGGTGGACAATCACGTGCAGGTGGGGAGCCCCCCGCTTTGTGGGGGGGGGAACACAGAGGGGGGCTCCTTTGTCTTTTAACTCCTTCCGAGCCAGCCCCCCACCCCCCTTTTTTGGTAAAGTTTTGTGTACCTCCTGCAGTTTGCAGCAGATGATGGATGGGCTAGGCTGGTTTACTGTCATCCGAAATTTAGAAATATAACTCTTTTCTGGGAAATGTTTTAGAATAAATGTATATACTGTAAATATATATTTCCAGTGTTATTTTTAAAAAAGGCGAAACTGGCGGTTGTAATACTTGTGAAGCTCGTTTGGCAAGTAGTTAAAAACAACTGGATAATCTCAGAAAACCCAGGTGGCCCACAGTATATTTGGGATCCTGGGCTTGGACTTTCCTTGAAGTGGAAACTTCGAAATCTGCTCGGTCGTATCCTGATGTATGTACAGTATTTAATGGTGAAGTAGGCCCCACTAAATGATATTTCCATGGTGCTCACAGGTAGCAATTTTACATGGCAAAGCTTATGAGCGTTGTTTGTTTATTAAATTTGTTGACTACAGTACCCAGAATCCCCAGTCAGTAGGGCCTATGGGAACTGTAATGAACTGTAAGTTGCATACTAATTTCAGTGAAAGGATATACTTGAAATACAACATGTGACACCTCATGTGCTTGAAAATGCACTAGAGAAACAAGCAACAGAAGGTTATGCTATCTGTAGCCTAATTAGTTGATTCTGGCTGAAATCCTATTGCTTAGCATAGTAAGGTCTGTTGAACTGGTGGGAAATTTGGGGGGTCAACTCCTCTGTAAGCTCCACTGATTCAAATGGGCAAGTATATGTAGTGACTTACTTTAGGGCAGTAAGTTGCAACTCATAACTCAGTATATATAGTATGGAACTGTGCTTGCTGATACAGTTCAAGGAAATGAGTCTTAACGTTTAATTTTTATATACATTATATACTTTTTACTTTTTATATACATTATATTCTTAATGTTCAGTCAGAAAGATGCATTTGATTCTGACATCCATCAACATTTCATTTCATTTTTCTGAAGAACTAGACACAGATTAAATCTGTTTCTATCTTCTTAAAATTGACACTATGGCCAGTGATGGTTTTTGAACTGTGCTCTTTTAGCATGAGTGATAGGTAAGTTTTGTAGTAACTACTTGGTGTGATTTCTGTATCAGTTGTGATTTTTGTAGCAAATTATTTGCCTTGCTTGTAGACGAATCAAGTCCTTGGCATTGGAAGCGGCTCTACGATTGTTCATGCTGTACAGAGGTTGGGTATGTATTTTCACTATTCCTTTTGTTCAGACTCATTGTGATTGTTCTGGTGGGTGATCTGTGCTGTGCAAGCATCCATACTTCTGCCTTATCTGCCGAAAAGCTAGATCTTGTGAAGATGAATTTCTGCAGAAAGGTGTACATGAAGCCAATATAGAACTAGTCTTTCTAGTAGTCTATCTTGGACATAATGCTTGTTTGGAGCATATATACGTAAAATCAAGCAGAGGTAGTCCTAAACTGCACAGTTACTGTTTAGAGGTTGTGTAGAATGGGTAGGCACAATGTGGATCTTGGGGTGCAACTGCCATCGGCCTGGACCAGCATAGCCAGTGGTGGGGAAAGTTGGAAGATGAGTCCGTGCACATCTGGAGGATGACATTTAGCTCACACTTGGTGTAGATTACTTCATGCAGTCTCAAACCATGGAGTTGATTTTGGATGCCCTTGTATTGGGCTGGTGTGTGTAACATCTGTATGTATGGCTGGGGATGTCAAGGATGTGAGTGGAAGGGCACAAATCTGCATCTTCACTGTACAAAGCCTATGTATCATTCATCAAAGCTGAATTCTATTTTATTTGTAGTTTTTAAAAATTACATAAGTTCTGTTCATTAATTTAGCATGATACAGAGCTCAAATTAACTTACTTCCACTTAAAATTCTTTTCACATAAGTTTCAGTTATGAGCCTATACTGTGGATAGATTCCAAGAGGAAATGTACAATGTCCTAAAATATACTCGTACACCTGCTTTAACTTGATTCCCTCAAATTGTCACTAAGTTCTCAATGGCATAATTGCAGCTATTCCATTCTCCTGAAGGGTTGTGTAGAGCTTTTAATTTAAGCATTTGATGGTTCTGCCCTGAATCAAACCATTTAAGTTACTTCCTCTGTGCTGGACTGAATAGAATTTTGTTGTGATACAGTACTGTCCTTGAAAATGTAACAGAGGTCCACCAGAAAGCATTTGTACACAGCCTGTCATATTAATGGAGGGTGATCCACATTCTACAAGTCACAGATAGGAGCTGCTATTCCTTCTCTTCCTTCCCCCAAAAGATTCCCACACTGATTCTGCACACACTGTAGAAAACTCAAGGTGTACGGAAGTCTTCCCTGTGGCAGATGTGATGATGTATGGGATCACTTAGTTTGTACTGTATCAGACATTTGTGTAGGTTAGAAGCTATGGCAGTTTCTGAAGCGATGAAAGAATGCAGAGCAGAATCAACAGTGAAATGCCCTCAAAGTCTCCTTGAAAATGCCTTTGGCACAGTAAGCAAGGAATTGCTAGAAACATACGGTATACCAGTTATAAAACCTGTACTGTAAATGTAGCATCATGAGGTATCCAATTAATCTTCCCTTCCTCAAAACTCAACTATGTCCAGATATGTGTCATTAAAATACTGGAAAGATAATTTTTCAGTAACAACCAACAGTATTTTTCTAAGCACTGTTGCCTTTTTTGGCTGTTTCACCTGATGAGCACTAAATGTTAATGTTGGCAATGTTGCAGAATTCATAGTTGGGGTCAGATTTGTAGATGTTTTGTTTTTCTAGAGTGGAAAGTGGTAAGAATTTGTCATTATTTATCATTGTAGGTTTTTTACTGTAATTTTCTCTGTTGTTGAAGAGTTTCTTTCTGAACATGCTATCACAAGTATAATTTTGTCTTGAAATTTGTGTTTCCTAGGCATGCTAAAAGTGGTACATTTAAATTCTACTGAATTTGTACTCTGTTGCTAATTAGACCTACATTTTTGCCTCATTTGGTGCCTAGAAATGACATGGGCAACAACTCTTACCATTGAACACTGAAACAGAGAATCTGTTTTCATGCAAGAGAGATGTTGAACAGCCGGGCATCGCTTTTTGCCATTTTGCCTTTATTTTCTTTGCTAGCAGAATTCTATCATTTCAATAGAATATTTTAAGTTGGCAATTTTGAGCAGAAATATTTTGATATGGAATTTTCTTGCATAATTTGTAGTGTTCTGAGTATATATTTAATATGTGTGATATATTAAATTCAGTCATTTCCCTCAACAGCTGAGAGAGTGAAGCAAGAAAATCTCAACATAGTTTGTATACCTACATCTTTTCAGGTAAAATCTTGCTGTCGAATCCTATTTCTCATTTCTTATACACAGTATGGCTGTTTTCCATTTGCTCTACAGTTGAATTAATGTTATCTGCTCTTAGGAAATCTTTCTGCTGACCTACTACTTACCTTATTCCACATCTGGTCAGTCCTCTACTTGAGTATCCTAGGAAAGAACATTAAAGGAGTAGTAGCATTGTCTCTTAATGAAAACCATGGGGCTTCCATTTTCCAGTGAAGAGCACTTCCATATGAGGTGTCGTAGTGGACCAGTTTATTTGCTTATTTTTTGTTAATTCTTTATTCCTATACGTACTGCCATTGGCTCTGCAAACTGAAATTTTGCTAAATTCTATTGTGTGTCAAAAATCCTAAAGCTTATAAAATAGTTACCTCTAGAATTCCTCTGAGATCACAACCTAGCAACTCTTTGGTTCTTAGCAACTAATGCTAAGTTGCAACTAACACTTAGTATCTAGAGTCTGAAGTTTTAGATCATTAGGCTATCTACTGACAGGCTGCTGCAGTTGAGAAAACATTTACAGTATCCTCTTCTGTGATTAAAGTGTTTGAATAGCCATCCTGACATGTTAAGCAGGAAAGTTGGGTGTAAATGATTTTTGTTTACTGAAAAGATTTAGCATACTTCATTAAAACAGTCTTTGGATCAGGAGTGAGCTAAATGCAACCTGTGGGCCTCATGCAACCCTCAGGGGCATTTTGGGGGCACACCAGAGCACTTAAAAAAAGTTAAGGAAAAAATGTCTTTGCCTGCTGCTGGATGTCCCCAGAATCCACATTGTTCACATTAGGGAAATTGTGTGGGTGCTGTACTCAAAGTCCCTCCCACTCCCAAAATTAAAACCAGAGATACCTGTTTGGGATTTTTTGGGGTTTGTTTTCTTTCTGTTTTGGAGCTGAGTGGGGCAAGGGAGTGAAAATTTGCCAACCATCAGGCTCATCTCCATTACCCATCTCTATGCTAGAGAATGGAGATCTACAGTTTGTAAAAAGAAGTCATGAAATGCCGTTCATTCCAATCATAGTGGCCAGGATCCTTTTTTGGATTTATACAGTGGGGTCTCTACTTAAGAACGTCCCTACTTAAGAACAGTCCAACTTAAGAACAGCTCCATTTGCTAACTTTTGCTTCTACTTGAGAACAGAAATCCAAGATAAGAACAGGAAAAAAAAACCTTTCCTGCTCTTTTTTTAACCTTAAAATGCAACCTGTGGGCCTCATGCAACGCTCAGGGGCATTTTGGGGGCACACCCAAAAAGTTAAAGAAAAGATGTCTTTGCCTGCTGCTGGATGTCTCCAGAATCAGCATTGTTCACATTAGGGAAATTGTGTGGATGCTGTCCTCAAAGTCCCTCCCACTCCCAAAATTAAAACCAGAGATACCTATTTGGGATTTTTTTTTGTTTGTTTTCTTTCTGTTTCGGAGCTGAGTGGGGCAAGGGACTGAAAATTTGCCAACCGTCAGGCTCCTCTCCATTACCCATCTCTATGCTAGAGAATGGAGATCTACAGTTTGTAAAAAGAAGTCATGAAACGCCGTTCATTCCAATCACAGTGGCCAGGATCCTTTTTTGGATTTACACTAGCATAAGATTAACTGTGTAAATTGGCCAGTAGAGACCCCACTGTACTAGCATAAGATTAACTGTGTAAATTGGCATACTAAATTACTGCAAATTAACGTGTTGCCTCATGCATTCTTACTTGCCTGCCAGTCATGCAGCTTGGTTTACAGCTGGGAGTGTGAGTAGCAGTTTATCAATCGGTAACAATTTGCCTTCGTTTTTTGCAGTTATGTTTACACAAGCAGTTTATTTCAAATAGAGTAGCAGTTTCAAGTAGAGTAGGTGGAAATAGGTGACCCTTTGCTGCGTCTTAAGAATAGGGCAGTTTCAAAACAAGTGGAGAGCATTTCAGTGTTAACGGTGTCGAGTTGAACATTTCAGTAATTAAATTCTGATCCTGGTCTTACAATAATTAATATTCAGGAATGGTAACAATTTGGCATTTTAGAGAAGAGATAGCTGTGTTTGTTGTTCCATTTTGTGTCTGGATTTCTGTGGGAACATATTTTTGAATACTGTTCACAACTCTTTACATGGACCTTCTGTAGTGTTCCTCTGAAAGTCCAAATAATTGCAAAATAGTTTTTTAAAATGAAAACTGAATGGGAAAAAGCATATGCAAGACAAAAGTCAGCTTAGAAATTTAGCTGTAGTTAAAGTACAGAATAACAAATGCCTTCTACCTCTCCATGTCAGCACATATTTGTGTGCACACTGTACATGGGTTGTTGCTTTCCCAAAAGCATTCTGGTTTTGTGGGCTCTTCTAATTCTTGCCTTGGTCAGGCAACACTAGCAATTGACAGTTCAACTGACTACTCCAAAGGTGGCTTAACCCTCTAAATTGTCATATCTGTTGGTCATAATCAACGGAAATCATCTGTATAGATCAGTGGTCCCTAACCTCGGGTCCCCAGATATTCTTGGCCTACAGCTCGTAAATTGTTGTCATATCTGTTGGTCATAATCAATGGAAACCATCTGTACAGGTCAGTGGTCCCTAACCTTGGGTCCCCAAATATTCTTGGCCTACAGCTCCCAGAAATCCTGGCCAGCACAGCTAGTAGTGAAAGCTTGTGGGAGGTTTAGTCCAAGAACATCTGGGATCCAAGGTGTAGCGTTCACCCTTATTATGAAGTAGTCATGCATATTCATGTTGCAGGCTAAGGTTGCTAAGAGGCAGAGCGGAGAGATATGTAATAAAGAGGCGGAGTCAGAGTGAGTCAGTCAGTGAGTGAGAGTGGAGAAAGAGATAAAGTGTATTTGGGAGATCTGATTAGAGTGAAGAGTGAATAAGAACTGTATAACTAATAGAAGGTTGAGATTGATGATAAATACCTGTAGAAGCTACCTATGATTAATATCAAACATTTGTAATCAATAAATAAGTTTTATTTAGAAGACAGTGAAGTTTGGACCTTCATCTTCATCCTTCCATAAGTAATGTTGATTTAGTGATCAACTGTGGCAGCGGGTGAAAAGGAGTATTAGTTTGCCTTCATGTGCTCTGTGTTTGGGGAGTCAGGCAAAGGGCACGAAGGGCAAATGCCACAAATGGTGTCCAGCAGTGGGATACGAAGAAATCCAGTCAAGCCTGAGTTTAAAGAGATTTTTGAAAAATGGAGGTTACAACAGGAATTCAAGTTTAGAGAATTAGAAATTAGAGAAAGAAACAGGGGATTAGAAAGAGAAAAAGCTGAGCAAGAGGCCAGACAAATTACATTTGAACAAAAAAATAGACAAAGAGAAATGGAATTAAGACAAAAAGAGATGGATTTTCAAATACAAATGGGACAATTAGAAATAACCTCTCAAAATAACAACAATAATAACAGCTCTCATGAAGGAGGAATTCTGGCTAAAATTGATCTTAAGAAATTTCCCCGATATAAGAAAGGGGACTGTCCTGAATCTTTTCTTATCGCTTTTGAACGCACTTGTTGGGACTTTGATATCAGAGATAGTGAAATGAGGATTGTTCTGAGGTCACTACTCAGTGGAGAATTGCTTGAGATTTATTATCAGATTCCCCTAGAACAGGCTAGAGATTTTGAAGCCTATAGAAAAATGGTATTTTCCAGATATTGCATAAATGCAGAACATCTCAGGTGAAAATTTCATGCCCCTACTAAAAGACCCGAAGAATCATATGTTCAGTTGGTGTCTAAGTTACACACGTGAAAAAGGTACTTCTCTAGAAGATATGAATATTGTGATAGGACTGGAACAATTTTACTCTATTTTACCTGGGGAATTGTGCTATCTAGTTAGGGACAAACATCCTAAAATTCTAATAGAAGCTGGTGAACAGGCTGATCATATTAGGGAGTACAAAGACCCAAGATTCTCTGAGGTAAAAGTTAACAAGCCAACCTGGGACAACCATAACAAATCCTTCAACCAACCTTTCAACAAACAGTACCACAGTAAAACATCAGAGTATGAAGGCCAGGGTGGTGCCTCATCTAAATTAGCATGGCCTAGTCCTCAGAACCAAATGAACTCTGAGGGAACGTTTACCAAATCTCCTCAGAATGAGAGAAGGAATTACAAATATTACAACTGCGCCCAGTCTGGACATTTACAGTTCCAGTGTATGCGAGAAAAAGTTAATACTGGGAAGAATGATAAACCAAAAAAGTGTACTGTTTAAAGCAAGTTGAATCCTCTGAGGGAAGCAGTAACCAGAGTCCTGTTTCCATGGCAACCACAGCTACTGATCTTGAGGAGGACACTCCTGAAGCCTCTATCGTACATTGTTATTATATCAAAAAATGACAATACCCTTCTCAAAAACGCTGGTGAAGAGACATTAGTGGGAGGAAAGAAATACATTGCTGTAAGGGACACAGGATCTCAAATTTCTATAGTACATTCTGATTTGATAGCCCAGGATGACATAATTCCAGGCAGAACTATGACCCTAAAAGGAATTGGGAAAGAATAGGTAGTGCTGAAAGTTCCAGAGGTTCAGATAAACTATGGGAATTGGTCTGGAAAGTGGCAGGTGGCAGTTTCAGACGAAATACCAGCTGCTTTTCTAATTGGTTGGGACTTAATAGAGCATGTCAAG